CCTCATCTATGTTTTATTGGTTGGTTTTTGCTTATTCTTTATTAAAATGCAGCCTGTCGGCTCAAGTTCAATTCTCATTTGTGAGAGGGAGCGCTGCCACAATCAAGAATCTATTCTTGATTCACAGCCTTACAGCTCAAAGGTAAAAAGATCATCATTTAGAAAAACATCACTGGGCACTATGAAACAGCTAAAACAAATTTCTCACTGATTAATTCTGACAGTGGTACCGAAGATGATGTTTCCTAACATGGCCGGAGGGAGATGAATCTCCTTGTAATCTCATATTTTAGCAGATTATTCTGACTGCATCTGAAGACAGAATCAGTTGTTTTTCTGACGGGCGACCTGCCACTGTTTGCATCTATAACTCCTCAACTTAGAAAGTCTCCTGATGAAGAAGAGAAACATGCAGGTGTGATGTCCAGCTGTCAGTGCTGATGAGAGCAAGGGAAATGAGAAGTTTGTTTTCTTCCAGGCTGACGCTCAGTGACGCTGTCTCCAGAGCTTCGCCGCCCTCCCCGTTCACTGGCCTCTCCTCACTGAGGACTGACTCAGCTGTCACAGAGCACCCTGCAGGGGAATGGGTAAAATAAATAAATAAATAAAACAAACATGGAAATTAAAGACTCATAGAGCAGACTTATTATAAGGTAGTGTGATATGATTAAAGAGCAAGGATCCCGCCAAGAGGAGGCCCAATCCAGCAAATGAATAAAAAGCTTAAATATTAAAATTATTTAATGCTGACTTCACTTTGGTTTGGCTCAATGGGTTGCAGCTGTAAGTCAGTGTGGGAGGTGTGAGTCTGTCAGAGGTCATGCATTTGAATCCAAAGTGACTTCTTTTCCCACTACTCCGACCCAAACAGGCTCTTTTATATATATGAAAATGGGAACTGACACCATTTGCATTGTGGTGAGAATTAGATTAGTTGTTGCATCAGCCACACACAATCATCCAGTAGACTAAAAACGAAACACAGGTGGCCATAAACCCATAAATCCACTTCTCCTGCCCACACAGCTTAAAGGATTTATCCGAAGAGCATCAATAACCCGCCACATAAGCGACGAAAATAGGTTTGAGCCACGTATGTCATACTTAGCCTACTCCTATCAGCACCACTGTGATGAAGATGAGCCACGTCAAACCACACAGTGTACCAGCACTACCTGTGTTCCCAGCCAGCATGTCCTGAGAGGGATGCCCACAGCCGAGTTCTCATTGTTTCTTACCTTTTTCGAAGCCCCGGGGTCTCAGGTCCAGGCTCTGGATTAAGTGTCCTTTACTTAATGCCCCTCTGCTTCCTTATTGTTTACAGACGAAGCCTATTCTCCCTCCTCTCGGGCTCTGGAGCATCCTAAAGTGGAATCAGCGCCGCCTCATCTTTCTACTCGGCCTGCACCACAAACGTTACAAATCGCTCGAACATCCATTCAGTCCTGTTCCATCGTTTAAATCAGAGCACAGCCTCTTTTTTTCGCTCTCTCCTCCCGACTCGTTCAGCCATTGCGCATCATCTCATCCGCCGCGGCTCGGCATCGTGCGCCGCCGCATCTTACCGCAGTAGCCTCCGGTGTGCACAGCGAGCAGGATGACGAAGAGCTAATTTGACTTACAGCCCACTCACTGATAGGAGGCGTGATTCGTGCCACACAGAGCAGGGAGAGGTGAGGCGAGCGGAAGTGTATGGAGGGTTCGTGATGCCACACTTAGGGAGAAAGAACACACTGGTCTAAAATAGAACAAACAGAATCTATTTGTTTGCTACTGGGAGCTTCAGACCTAGATCTAGAATTTAACACAAATTTATCATATGTACGTTGATTTCTGACATTTTCAGAGGTGAATATAACATGTAATAAAAACACAGTGTCTGGAATTTTAACCATTCCCCATTAAAATAGTTTAAATGTGTTTATTCTGAAAAAACAACCAAACAAAATGGGACATTTTAGACGAAATGTGTTTTTTAAGTACAAGTGAAAGAATCCCACTAGCAAAATTATTATTGACTGGTGAGTTAATTAATATAACTATTAGAAAAAGTAACAAATCACAGAAAAATATGGCTACTTTTGCTTTTTCTGGGCACACTCCCGGTTTCTCTGATGTATTCCTGAGATATGACAAGCAGCTTTCTCTGAAAATACTTAACAATAAAATTAGTTGATTTTTTTTCAGTGTGCAGCAGAAAAAATATACACAAGAGAAACAGTTACGGAAAGTGAAAATGTCACCCACAGGTCACCTATGAAAGTATTTGTGTTCTCTCCATATTTCTATAAGCTTTTGAAATAAAGGAGTAAATATTCTGAAATTTTAGAGGTCATTTTTTATATTACTTGTTAGCTTAATTTGCCAAAATTACCAGTAGACTAGCCACAGGTGTCTGTGTTTACATAAGTCACTTGGTCTACAGTGCTACTGCTTATGTAATGGTTGAGTTTCATTGCATTAATAACTGTTTATTTTTCTACTCACTGTATTATCTACATTATCTATATTAGGACAGTGAGTTAGTCACCTATCAGGGAGCCAGTACCTGTGCTTGTTGTAGTAAAAGTGCAGACTAGATGCTACTTTCACCCATTGTTTATGATTTTACCGTTTTTTTGTGTGTGTTTTTGTGACAGCATATTGGATATTAAGGTACAGTGTGGAGTATGTTTAAATTGTTATGACACCATCTAAGAGGCGCTGATTTTAGTTTCAGTGATTAAAATTCTAGTAATTTATGTTTCCATTGCTTTGTACTAATTAGCATTTACCTTGCTAACCTCTTGCTAACGGAACTTGCAAGGATTCATCCAAATATGGTTAATTCCGGCTCCAAACAAATACAACAACAACAAAAACACCCTGGTATTAGCCAAAAGAAACTTTATTTTAAAAGGGATGAAATTATGAGATTTTAAAAATGCTGAAATTGTTCAGTGAACTGAAAACAGTAAGTTTGTAGATGGTGATGCTGCACTTTCCCCTGTCTCTGCTTCATGGCATTGTTTACTCCTCATACAGCATTAGTGTAGCCTCACATACTCTCACCAGAGAGCCTACGTTTTCACAGCATCATCACAGCAGCAGATGAGTAGATTGGGAGACACACACAGACACACACACACACATAGAAAGAAGACGTCATACATCCATGTGCACAATTTACTTTTTTCCTCCAAAGTCCTCCTCTCCAGACATTTTCAATAAGCCTCATTCGTGTGCTATGGATCTTTTTCATAACTCTAATATAAACAGGCCAGTAAAACCGAGCTTTGGTATCATATAGTCAAAATATTCAAAAAGAAATACATTAAAGATTATTAAGAGTCTTAATTATTTTTCTGGATTTAAATGGGCTTCCAGACCACTGCGTTTCTTATAGGAATTTAAAATGTACATGTTGTGCTTTGTTCATATGTTCTGTCATACTCTTAAATGGTGTATGCTTATATTAAATAAAGTGGTTTTCAAATAATGAGGCCAGTATACACACACCATAAATTGCTATAAACTGCTTTAAATAGCCTTTTCAGTCATTTTTTTTATACCCTTGGCTAGGGATGATGTCATAGAGGGAGGATCTCCCTAATATGGTCAATTAAGGCACAAAGTGCTACACACAAGCTCCACCTACCCGTTGCCCCTGTGAGGGGCATCGATTCAGGGGGCAGTTGGTTTATGAAAGTTGGGTGGCCTTAAAGTGAAGATCTAAAAACAGCTTGTTTCAGACATTTAATGAAGTGAGGATCTGCACCAAGGTCCAGCTTATGACGAAGAATAACTCTGAGATGAGAATTATGCAATATAAAAATATGGAGTAGGAAATAATGTTGTCTCTTTGAAAATTTCACTGAAATTTATATAAAATTTGACTACAGGACAGAAGACTTTTTGTGTGAATATTACTTTATTTAAGTAACATCTTTACAAACATTCTTTCAATGCAGCTCTGACAAAACACTTGCCACTGAAACCCTTAGAATCAAAAAGAAATTCGAAGACCTCGTTAAACCAGAAAGTTAAAAATCTCTCTGCATGTACATCCTGCCTCAGTGCGCGTTACCTTCACATGTCACTACTCGTCTCAGCTTTTTTTTTTAAAGCTCTAGTTCTCAGCTGCAAAAAAAGGCACTGTGCTAAACGTTGTTAATGAGACAACTCTTTTATGGATTCATGCATTTTACCACGCAGCTTCATTCCATCAGTCAACCAAATAAAGGAAACATAAAAGTGTTTATTCTTAAATGTTTTACATCTACTTGAAAATAGAAAACCTTTCAAAAAGCCTGATTGGTGTATCATCTAAGGTAGGACGTTTTAACAGAATACCAGAAAAATTACAAACATGTTTATAAATGGTAAGTTCTTTGTTTATAAATTAAACTTAAATATCAAAATTTAGAGACATAAAAACTGATATTCAAGAAGATTATTCCATTTTAAAACAGTTTATACATTAAATAGTAGATACATTGTTTAAATTGTACTGGGCAAAGGCACTTAAAGTTTCAATCACTCCGACAGTAATTTTTGGTGTTTTTAGAAATATTTATAACTCTGTTTTCTGCCTTTTTTTCTAACATGATTGCTTTGCAACAAGATCAAGACACGCCACCCCCACTAGTCTCACTCTAGCAGCCTTTTAGCAACTTGGATCAACAGAATAAACTTTACAGTTTCCTCTCTAAAATTTCTGAATTTCTGGTTTAAATCCCCAAATTTCCGTCCAGCTCACTGCTGATGTTTTGAAACGCAACAATACTTAACAGCCGAGCTTCAGAAATATCAGTGTATTTTAAAGCTACAGCCTCATTCACAAAAAATACAGTGGTGCCCTTTTTTTTGGCATTGTACAGTAAAAACATTAATAAAAAATATATTAGCAGCAGGTTGGGCTAAATATTTGAGAGCAACCTATAACCAGATAGTCACAGGTTTGATCCCCACAGCAGATAAAGAGTCCAGAGCGTCCTGCTTACTCACTGACCGTCTCTGGGAAAAAAAAAAAAAAAGCACAGGCTAAATGTGCTAATATATAAAACTGTGGCAAAAAAAGCCCATAATCTCAGAAAGTTCACACTTTTTCTTCAAGATAAACAAAACATTGTTTCAGGTCAAAACAATATCATTTATGCTTTGGTAAATATGAAAATACATTTTGAACTGAAAAGGAAACAGCTTCAAAAAAGCAATTATATTATTTTATTTACATAAATATTCCTCTGGCCTACGTTGTGATGGTTCATAATGAAATATTTTTAAATGATCATGGAACTGAATCATGAACCATGAAGTCGATGTGAGTAAAAGACTCTTTCCAGCGCATTTCAAACACAAAACAAAAATAAATAATGAAGCAGTCCGACATGTTTACATTCAGAGTGAAACCTTTAAAAACCAAACAAAATCGGATAAATAATTTGGACTAAACTAACAAACCGTAACAAAAAAAGTCGTCACATGTAAGATGAGAGAAGGAAATATATAGTAATCTTTAGCTATAATAATGACAATAATACTGCTTGATGTAATGTTATTGTAGTTCATCACATTCATACATCATCTATGAAAATATAATATAATTTTTTTTGTTAAGGCACAGATGAACCCCAAATTAATATACATGGTGTTCCTCTGGGCTATGTTACTATTTATCCATCTAAATTGATTTGGTTAGAGTTGCCCAGTTTTGGCGATATTAGCTGGAGAAATGATGCGTGGAGCCCACAAATAATCAGTTCAAAAAAGTTCAGTAGATAAACAGCACTACAGGTCAGAAGAAAAAACTAATGTATCACTAATTTGGGGATGAATTGTCCTTTTATTAGAGGTTTACTTTATATTAACACGGCAACCTCACAAAAAAACTAAACAACAATAACAAGAAAAGTAAAATACATTAAAGATACCATTCCAGCATCTTCAGTACTTTGACACCTGGTGAGCTGCTGTTGTTGTCTTTGTTGTTGCTGTGGTCGTTGAAGACTCGTCTGTTCGTGTTTCAGCCAGGTGGGTGATTCTGGTAGTCTTTGTCACCATGGTGACAGTTCCCTCCTCGGAGGAAGAGATTTGGTGCTCTTCGGTCATTTGCGAGGTGGTGAAGTCGAGCCCTGAGGTGTGGAGGCAGAAAGACCCCGAGACATCTGCCTCACCCCCTACCTCACCTTTCTGCTGGGCCTGAGGAGAACTCTCTGGAGTTATCTGGAGGAAGCCTGCGGTAGGTAGGCCAGGAAATAAGAAAAATGAAAGGAAAAGAGGAGGATAGGTGAAGAAATCAAGAGGGAAAAGAAACTTAGTCTTATGTAGAAGAGACAAAACAGAAGAGTATATAGATTAGTGATTTATTTACCAGGAACACAAAAAAATATACAAAAAACATCAAAGGTAGCAGCAAGAATAAAGTATAGATAGTGTAAAGTATATTCTAATAAATCCTGTGGTAATATAGTGAAAAAAACCCAGTAAAATCCAGACATAACATATGAGAACCACATGCAAAATTGATTAAACATTATTCTTGAATGTGTAGACTTTTACAGTTTTTCATTTTCTCATTTATATGCTTTATTTTCTCATTTCTCATAATGCAACTAAACGGGCAAATTTAATAGACGGGGTAGATACAAATTTAGATTTTTCTAAATTTTCAATGTAGTGCTTTGATAAAAAAATCTCTATTTTCTTGTCCTTACTATATCTATTAAAATATATAAGAGCTCAGGCTATGCATTTTTCTTAAAGAAACATGAAACACTGGATGACTAGTCTTTTAGTGTGGCAATGCACAGTGATTCAAATGAATGCAGAAGAATTTAAAGCTGACTGGGTTGGGTTCAAAACCTGCACTAAAACTTTCTGGTAAAATGCTGCCATCTTGTGGTGACGTTTTTAATTAAATATCTCAGAGGGTTTTTACAAAAAGCGGCTTTAATAATAACATTAACAGCAGTATTGACGTAATGCCAGCCCAATCCGGTTGTTCAGTGATGACGCGACGAATCCTACTTTCGGGTCTAAAGTAGTCTGCGTTTAATATGGCTTTTGTGTTGTTAACATGTTTAATGTTTTGTATTTTCTTCTATTTGATCTCAAAAAGTTCCTAAAACAGTCAGTGATCACTGTTGACCTCCCTCGGCTTTTATTACCGCTAATCATTTATTTAAGCTCAGCTTTTAAAACCTTAGGATGTAACTACAGCCCAGCCCATGCAGCAGTATATGAATGACTAACCTCGTATTGTGGCTGCATTATCTCAGTTGTTCTCCTGGCTGAAGTTTGGTCCTTTTACAGCATCCTGCCATGGGATTACATTTGTTCCTGACCACCGACAACACTCACGTTAACTTTTATCGAGTGGAAAAAAAGTTAGCTTGTTTATATTATGCTAACATAGCTGTGTCGCTAGCGGTCACGTAGCACATCATTATATACCAGCTAGCCCAACTTCAGTAACCCTACAAACGTCACTGCTGTTTAGTTTTCTGTCTTCATTAATGCTGGAAGTGATAGCAGAGCTGTACGTTTTAATTTGTTTCCAAAACCCCGCAGTCAGGACATGCTATATTGTATTTAGATAGAAGCTAGCGAGCTAACTCCTGCTAACTTCTAACTCCGTTAGATGTCATAAATTCCGTTTTCATGGATGCCTGGATGTTAAACTCAATTGTTACACCCGGTAGAGCAGAACGCTGATCATTTTATTAAAGATAAAAGACTTTAGACAGTTTTTCAACTCTCAGTAATGCCATAGTGATCGTTTGATATATGGACCTGCAGCGGAGTTTAGACCCAGACACGGCTAGTGACGTCAGACTGAACAATCGGATAGCATCTCCTTTAGCCTTACCTGTGGCATGTGGCTTCAAGGTGACCTTTGGGACCTTAAACCATGAGGAAGACTCTCTCTCTTCTGATTCCCTGCTTTTGCTCTCCACCTTGCTCCAAGCTTGAAACTTTGTTGAGGTGAACTCTGTGGCAAAACCAGAAGGGGACTCTGAGCTGTCCCTGTCCAGCATTTCTGTTCTGGCACGAGAAGACACCAAATCCTTCAAAGGCTCCTCAGTGAAACCCCCTGGTAACATTGTGCTTGATTGTACTTCTTCTGGTGATGAATGCTTTCCCAGTTCCCCACTTGTTTCCATGTCTGCTCCTCTTGCACCCGTCTTCCCATATAGACTGGTGAACTCCACCTTTGGGAGTTTGATTTTACCACTGAATGCCACCTTCTCTTCCTTGGAGCACTTGTGAGGGCTTTCACCATTGAGACTTGAACTTGAACCTTCTCTTTTGTCAGTGTCACCACCAAATGATGCAGATTTGCCAGACGAAAACGACACTTTAGGCATCTTTATTCTTCCCCCCTTTGACTTTTCTTCTTCTGCCCCTTCTTTTTCTGCACTTGCAGCAGCTGACTTTTCTTTGGACTTTCCAAAGCTTGGCTTCTTTTTGATTTTGGGCATCTTCACTTTGACAGTCTCTGTCTCAGCCTCAGCCATTGCTTCCCCTTTTAAGGGACTTGTGCTTGTAGCAGGCTCATTTGTTGGAGGAGTGTCTACCAAGACAAAAACCGCTTTCTTTACTTTAGGCATTTTAGGGCCCTCATACTGAATTTCTGGCCCATGGACATTCACACTTTCCTCTGGTGAGGATAGGGAGGGTAATGGGACGCCAAACTTAGGGATTTTGATTTTCTTGCCTTTTTCTGTTTTGCTGTTATCTCCATCTTGAGATGAGCCAATATCAAACTCTATGTCTGGTATTTTGGGGACTCTGATTCCTGCATGTGGAGATGAGGAGCCACCCTCTCCTTTCACTTCTGTCTTTAGACTTACACTTGGTAATGTAACTTCTGGTACTGGATGGTTAACACGATTTTTGTCATCTTTATGACCATTCTGGGTTTCAACTTCAAAATACTCAAATCTTTCTCCACCGTTTTTCTTTTTTGGCATTCCAATCTTGAATTTTGTTCCTTTGACTTTAGGCCCTTTTACTTTGCTGCTGGTTTCTGTAGTGACATCTAAGTCAGGTAGATCAACTTTTTTCCTGTCCTTTTTGCCCTCCCCTTTGTGAAGTCCAGTATCAAGTTCTAAGCCTCCTTTTGGACCTTTGATATCTATTGTCGGGACTTTTAATTTTAGGCCTTTGTGCT